GTGCGTCATCGCGCGTCTTGCTCAATCGAGCGACCGCGATCGACGCCGAGCGTCTTTAATCGCTTAATTGTCGCGCCACGCGACCCTCGCGAACAACGGCCGACTCTCCTTACCCACTTTCGACGATTCGCGTTTCCCTCACCTTTCACCGGCTATTTAACCGGTGAATAGCGTCGACGATTACCTACGAAATAACGTGTTCGAAGCTATACGATTTCGTCTTTGGTCGAATGGAGAATTCCAGGAGCATCTAATCGCGATCCTTTGGTCGAGACCTGGACTTTCGTTTTTCTGGATGCTCTCCTTACCTCCATATTTTCTCGGTAAGGATAATCGTTCAGTGGAACGCGCCCGAAATAAAATTTCGTCGAAGCACGTAGACGAAGAAACTGGTTCGAGCGTGGTAGGCGCCCGTTCCTCTCTTCTAATAAACGAAATTAACTTTCCGCGGACGATCGGCCGAAAAAGCGGTCGCGTTCCGCAGGAATGCTCGTCCTCCACTTGGAACGGATCCTTACAAGGATCTCTGGTCCCCGCGTACGTGCCTCGTCACTGAACCTTCCATCTTAGTAATTGGCGTTCTTGTTTAATTGAGTATTGTTTAGGGCACGTGGAAGGTCAGCTCGATCGATTTTTATATAAATCTAAAATCGAAATCCGATTAGAAGAAATTCCTTGGAGGTAACAATAAGTGATCCGAGAATTCCATAATCGAAAGGATATCTGGTTAGTTGAAAGCGTGGGCGTGTTGGCAACAGTACGATGCTCGGAATAGACCGAGAAGAAGAAGGTGTACCAGGATGGAGCGGAAGGTGGTGTTGGTGGCGGTGATCGCAGCTGCAATTACCGACCGTTATCAGCGGTTACGTCGCCGGCGACGTTGTAGACTCGTAAACAGAGAGGATAGTTTCGCGGATAGTCGAGCGATTTCGTGGCCAGATAAGGCCCGGCCGCGTAATCTTTATGGTCGTGCGAAGGAAACGTCATAACTCGTGGCTCTGGCCACCGTTCGCCAAGTTACGAGCGCGGCTCGCGCGAATAACGCGCTAATTGAATGAACGAACCGAGCCGACCCGCTTATCTTGGAGGCCGGATCTCGTTAATCGCCAGACGCTTTTAGAAACGGAAGTTCCATCGCGATGCATCGTATCTGCGCCGGTGCAACGCGGTGCAACGAGCTACTCGGCCCGATTGCTTTTAGCGTTACCATCGGGTCACGGCTGAGTTTGTGGGGTCGTTAGTGTGACGAGCGAGGGGCTGCTTTTATGGGGAAGAAACTCGTTTCGATAGCGATGGAAGGATATATGGGGGTCTATGGAAATTGAGGTGAAAGGTTGAAGATGGTAAGTGGCAAGAGGAAAAGTGGGACGCTTGGAATTATATTTCAAGTCTTAGCACTTTGATGCCACTAGAGAAATTATTTTTCCTTAAAGAAAGAAAAAAAAGAATACAAAGATTACCTAATCCCATATGCACTCTTTAATGGAGAAATCATCGGGAAGATCTGTAAACGACGAACGATCCAGTTACGCGACAAAGTGGCGGAATACAAGCGGTTTAAGTAAGTGTACCGGTAGTAAAAGATAACAGCTTGAAAGCAAATAGATTTTCGCGGTCACGCAACCGGATTCGCCGGGGCTGGTTTGACGCGGAACAGGCGTTATCGGCGCGATTAGTGGAAAGGCAAAAGGGTGGCTCGTAAGCCGCGGTGGCGGCAGCCAAACAACGCCTCTAAATTACCGAGTTACAGGCTTCTGGCAGCCGGTCGCAATAACGCGAGCTCCTATCCAACGCTACGATAATTGCCGGTTCGTTGCCTGTGTACTGGCTTTCCTCTTGCCTTTTCGCTCAGCCTATCTCCTTCTATCCACCTCGAGCCGCACGTAGTCTGTCCTCTGAAAAGGTTATGCTCTTGCGAGACAAGTTGAGCAACGGGTTAGGTGATCGTGCACCGGGTGTCTAAAAACGAGTCTTTCTAATGGCTCACCACCTGTCGAATCTCATCGAATTCGCCGCGTTAAGGTTCAGATGGCTCGTGTGGAATTCCGGGGTGGAAGCGTGCGGTCTGTCGGTAAGATAGAATTGTGAAACGATGAAAAGTATCGCGATCTCGATTCCCCGTTGCAAAGTGCATCGATGTAGCTAAATAGGACGTGGTCTCACGCTCGCCGGTGCATCTAGGCTTCGACGCTTCAAGGTTGCCTCGCGAGGATCGGTGTCGCGCTCTTGCCAGCAGACCTTTTAACGATTTTGCAACGAAATCCGCAACGACACGTTTCGCAACAGCCCGCGGCTCGCATTGTATCCACGACGTTCCAATGAATAACCTGCCGCGACTGCTCGACTAATGGATAATCGCAATTATCAGTGTGAAATCGGTTTTCGCCGCGACGGGGGAGGCGAGTGTCTTGAAATCGAATTTATGCGTTCGGTATCCTCGGGATTAATAACTTCACGCCGCGAGGCTACGCTGTTCTGAATCCTACGAGGTTCTGGAAGATCCTCTAAAATTTCTGTGCCTGATAAATTACTCAAGAATTAGGCACATCGATCGCAGTCATGTCTCATCAATTTCACCGATAGGAATCGACGAATTTTTCTCAGATCTTCGAGTTCTGTTCGGTGCGTTAATAGGTACGGTCGTTGATGCGTAGCGTCATTGATTATACGTTGCAATAATGCTTCACGACCAATTAAAATGCACTGTTGGATACTGATATACTGCAAATTAACCGGCGCTACGTTGCCGCTTAATCAGCATATTTATTGCTGGCAGCGGAGCCAAGCCAGGCAAAGCGAGCTACAGATGAAAGAAAAAGAGAAAGGAAGAAAGAGAGAATCGTAGCTGGTGTATGCTTCAATGTTGCGAGTGGTACCAATTTCATTGGAGATACGCTTAATCCAAGTGGATAACGCGGATAGCAAGCTGGATATAATAGGAATCCTCTCGGCGGTTCCACGCTTCCAGTCATCTCACCCTATACCAGTTTTCCTACGAACCATGCTTATAAAGTATTGTTCGAGTTCTCGAAGCTTAACCTTTTCCCTCCACTATATCACCGACCACCTCCGTATTTCGTTTCGCGCCCTTTGCTCGCCATCGCGCGAAAGGAAAATTTATCGACCTCCCTCTTTGTTCCTTTCTTTCTTTCAGGACAGAAGGGTGGTGCATATAACTCAAGGATATTGGGCACTTCTTCTTCTGCCAGTGAAAGTGAAGGATTGTTAAATTAAGAGGGAAGAAAGATTTTACAGGATTTTATGGCTTATTTGGTAGAGAGCTGTTGCCGGTGGTTCTTTGTTGTTTGTTTTGGGGTTGAAGACGGGGACCGAGTTATTGAGTACTTCTTCTTCTGGTGAAAGCGAGGAACTGGTTATTTCGGGGGATTTTATTTGGGGAAGAGACTTTTCTTTTTATTTATCGAGAAGATAGATGGTAATCTCAAGGATACGAGGTACTTTTTCTTGTTCGGATAAGAGCGAGGGTGTTTTCTCGAAGTCCAAGCTTCGAATGGAAGGAGACACGAGTCACGTGAGAATGACAGCGAATAAGATTGTTATTGCTGGTTGTCCAGCGTATCTTTGCATCTATCTGCGAGCGATCTGTCGGTAGCTCATCTTGGACGTTCAGTTGGTTACCATTGCTCGGCCTGGCTCGCTGACAACAATCACGCCACGTAGATATTTATGCGGTTATTATCTTATTCCTCTGGGATCAATTAGATGTATCTCGGCTAATCTTGGACCGTTTTCACTGACGTTTATTACTACTTGCCAGCGTACGTTCTTCGTATCCTCTAGCTCTAGAACTTCCCAGATAACCTGGTTACAAAACAATCCAGAACATTTTGGTCGGTCTGATTAATCGACAGAAAGAGAAAGGTATCGATCACCTGTCCATCGAACAGTTCAAGATACATCGTCTGGAATCGTCTGATCGGCGCGTGCACATTGTTGCAAGGGTACCAGTCGAGGAACGTGACACCGCGTGTCTCGGTGAACAGGCTCGAGAGCTGCACCGGATTATCCAAGTAGAAAATGTAATGGAACGAGTAAAGTTTGCGTTCACGCGTCGTTGAACTCGGCCAGGACCTGACAGCGTGGATAGAAGGCAGAGCCGAAGGAAGGGAACGAGAGACAATGCCGTGGACGATGGAGCACCGGTGTGATTAGGTAACCGTATCGACGTGCTTCGATTCAGCCTCGTGTGGGTGCACGACACACGTGTACTTAGAGAAAGAAAGCAGATAGGTGAACACGTTCGATAGATAATGCATTTTCCACGGACACGTTCCAGATTCCAGTTAAATCAGCCCGGTTTCCTCCGGAAATTCCCTAACATTTTTCTTTCGACTGGTCTAGAGGAAATGCCTGAGGATATTTCGGTTAGTTGATCGATAATTGTTATTAGAATGGTGTAAATTCGACAAGATCCAATTACAAGCGATTTGAACTTGACCCTTCGTTAGGATCGAGCAATCAAAGAGGCTGTAGATGAATCGAAGATTAATATTCAAGCTAGATTAACACACTAACGTTGTAGGATCGTTAAATTTTACAATCGATCGAATCGTAGGCGCGTGTTAGCCCGTAGCCGGTTTAACGATCGTTCGAGGCCGCAAATGAAGCAGAAAGTTAATTCTGACGATTGATCGTCGTTAGACCAGCATGCACGATTGGACAAATTAAGGCGTAACGGGTAAATGGCTCGTTAACGATGCCTCGTCGCTCTTTTTACCTCTTCTGCTCATCTTCCTTTCACACGTGAAATCGAATACTTTTTATCATTCAAATGATTCCCAATAGAAGTTATCAATCGAAAAAACTAGAGTAGAACGATAATTAAACGTCGTATCTTTAAAACTTTTAAGACGTTTAATGTAATCACCGTTCCATACCAGTTTACGATTTCATCTAAATTACGAGATTTTAATATTTCAAGTTTCGTTTATTACCATTATCGGTAACTGTTTTTACAATGTCGTCCGTTTGCTTTCCAGGAACGACAGGAAACCCGGCGGATCATCCACGGGGAGAGAGCATCGAGATTGTCGGTGAGTCGAAACATCTATACTACCTTTTTCATCGAGTCATCCGCGATCAATTAACGTGTTTTTAAATCCGATACTTTTTATTCGTCGATACTCTAACGCTAATCGCGTCCTGCTTCGACGACTTCCTGTTTGCCTTCGATTATGCAAGAAACAGAGCGGTATCAGGAAGTTCATTTTACGATCGATTTCATGCGTGCCTCGAGCTTTATTTTCACTCTTTTTACTCTTTTATGGAACCTGACCGATAAACCGGATGTACACTTGATCAATTCGACTTTCTTATTTATTTTTCGAAAAATTGTATTTAAAGGGGGGAAGATAGAAATTAGAATTCAAAAGCATTTACCACCGAAAGGGTTAATTACGGAGAGCAAGAAAGATTTTTCACTTGCTTTAACCTTCGCGAACACCCTGTATAATGGTGGGACGTCGATTGACCCTTGCGGTACTCCCACCAGAATCCAACGAGCGCATCACCCACACCAGGACGCGTAGTGCAGCCATCACCATCGCCGTCCTATGTCGATGTCTGTCGAGCCTGTAGAGACGCGCCACGACGCCTGTACGCTTCGCTTCGTACGTGCAGGGGTCATATTCTCATCGGCGATGCATGTCCCCTGGTGAACAGTCCACCGAAACGGTTCGTCGTTCGATCGAACGGAGAAAAATTGCGAACCAACGGCAGAGCTCGCGAACAGACCTCGAGACTCTGCCCGATAGAAATCTGATCGCTCGTTACCTGTTCCTCTCTCATGGACTGCGTCAGAGATATCGTGACCGTTTTTGCGCCGGGGTCATAGCTGTCCTTCGGATGCATCGGGTCCTCTTCCTTTTTTTATCGAGACTCGTGACGGTGGCAATCGAGAGCACCGAAGATGACTTTGATTCGAACGAGGGTCAACAGTTCAATATCCCTAGTGATCCCATCGCTTGGAATTTAAATTGATATTTTCAGAATTCTATTTCTGGAAAATGGGCAAATTTCAAATTGGACACTCTGTATATTCGACAGTGCACAGAGGAGTTTTCGAACGGGTTCAAAGCCACCATACGACGACGTTTCGAACGCTTTAATAGGCGGAATTTGTCTGGCCGGCAGGTACACTGACAGCTAGTCGGTCGTGCCTATTGCCCGAAGGTATACGAGGAGGCGAGGAGGAAATGGAGGATGCTCGAGCGAGCGGACGGCAAGTTCGCGACCGCCACCACCGTATGTAGGACAATTTCGCGGGAAACCTGGCTCGATTTTTCCGCTGACCCGTGGGAATTTATGGGCGGATACCGCGGCTGCCGTGGCGCGGTTATTAGAAGCGGGATCTGGGACACGAGGAAGCCTCGGATGCGTTCCTCGAGCTACGGGACAGAGGTCAGCTAGTTAGACTCTGGGAGGGATGTCGTTAGAGGTGGAATTTAAATGGTAGAAGAGATTGGAACGATTCGAAGGCTTCCTTGATAGTGCTTGATGTTCCTTTCAAGGAGATGTCTTCAGAGGATGCAATTGTTAAAGAGAATATTTATTTATAAAAACCTTCTGCCTCGGCTCTTGCAATATCGGAACCGTTATTTCATCAAGTTCGATTAATAAAATTACCACTTCTCGTCGACCTAATTCTGATTCTTGATACATTTCATCGACAGGTATCGCTGGGTTGTTAAACAATTTCCCACGTCGATCAACGAGGATAGTTTTAATAGCCCAGCCCGAAGCGTATCGATAATGGACTGTCGAGCGATCCAGTCGGATAACTCGAGGTCGTGTAGACGATCTATTCTCCCCCCTCTTCCCCTTTCCACTTTATTCCTCCTCCATTTACGACAATGTGAAAAGATATCCTTATCTAATCCAGGTCGTAATGTCAGGATTGTTAACGAAGGATAGATTACCGGTCGATCGAGTTCGTTACGTTGCAAACGTGGCCTCGTATCTTTGACCTTGGTCGAGGGTGGAACGGTTGTGAAATTGAAAAAACGAGAGGTACGAGTTGGTCGTAATTAAAGCATCGACGTTCGAGGTACCGTAAGGGTCAATCCACGGTCTTGAGTATCATACTTGGGAGCGAACGTGGCACGCAGAGGCCGCGATGGCCACATCGTCGTGCCTACGCTTTTGATCGTTGGTATTTGTCAGGTATCGATGAACAAGTGTCCCGATGCATTGAAAAATTCGATATTGTGATTGAGAAATTCATAGAATTTTATGGAAAAATATTTTTTGAATACTCTTAGTTATTTAACGACAGGTAGACGTTGGTTCTCGCCATCGTGAAAAGAAAATAGTGGTCGTAGGACGACTGCCTATTTATCCATTCCTAGTACGACTCGTTAGTCTCCTTCGACTTTCTTCGCTTCCTGATTGCCTTCCTGGTCCGTCGTATCGTGTACCTGCCTGGCCAGACAAATTCCGGTCGTTAAAGCTCCAGTGTCCCGGCACTTCCGCGCGCGTGTGAACCGCGTGAACCCTGTCCCCTTCGATGCACTCGAGCCTCTTTCGGGATGACATGACGGCCTAAAACGGGAAAGCTTTCGCTTCTGAAAGAGGAAGCCGATTTCTAGCGGTACGTTCTTTGAGTTAACGTACGCTGGAATTGGCTTTCCTAACGAGCCACCGTGCTTTTATCAGACGAAACCTTCTACGGTCCAATTGATCTTAAACAAAGGGGACATTGTACAGTTAAAAAGGTACTTGTCCAGTAAAAGGAAACGAAGGATTTTTCATTTTTCCGAATGGTATTTTGAAATATCTTTACACGTAGATGTTTGCTGGAAAAAGTCGTAGAAGAGAATATTTCTATCGGTATTGGCTATAAATTAAGATGAGAACAGGAAAAGGTAAGAAGCCGACCGTCAAAGGAGGCACGTTGACCGGTCAACACAATCGGCGTGCCGGTTGTGTAGCACGCCTTTTTCGGCGAACTGTGAACGTAGCCTGAGGTCTGGCATTCCCCTTTCCTCCTTCGTCGTCGGCCGGTTCGTCCGGGGTCACCGACGAGAGGTCACGTCGCTCGCATGGCATCGGTGACTTTTTCATTTTTCTCTCTCCCTCCATCGACCCTTACACCCCCTCTCTCTTAACCCGTATCTTTCTCTCGCTTCTTCTCGATAGCCAGGGGCCCAGCTTTGCTAGATGCTGCTTCGTTTAAAGGAGTGGTTCAACACATAGGCGCAGACCTCTTCTTAAACAAGAAGAGGTCTCTTCTTCTTCAACCACCAGCGGGGTGGATTAAAAAATTTCATATTTTTCAATTCTGGAGGCAAGAGGGTGCAAAATGATTTTATATCATTTGATTTTAATTAATATTTGAAGACGTAGGCGCATTTTTTGGAGAAAAATTCTTGGATCTCAAAAAGGGTGGATTGGAAATATTATTTTTTCAATAAAAATCATAGTTTAAGAGTGGTTATCTTCTTTTTGAACCATCCACAGGGTTAATTACAAAATCTCATTTTTTTTAAATTCTGGAGGCAAAAGGGTGCAAAATTATTTCATACAGTTTGATTTTAATTAATATTTGAAGACGTGAGCGCATTTTTCGGAGAAAAATTCTTGGATCTTGAAAAGGGTGGATTGAAAATATTATTTTTTCAATAAAAATCATAGTTTCAGAGTGGTTGGATCTAATTCATCGAAGAATCTCTCGATCCGTCGAACATGGCGCACGGTTAAGTGTCTCGCGTTCTCTCTAATCACTTTACCCACGACACCGAGCCGAAAACTAACGGTAACATCTGCTTCCACGGTGAATAGTGTTCATCGAGCGGTTTTTGCCGTGCGAACGACGCCAGTGGTCAAAGGTTCTCGCGTATAAAACCGATGAAGACGCGGTTCGAGAGGACGACGAGGAAGATTTGCGAGCACACTGAGAGACGACGGCTTACCGCTCCCTAAGTCACCGGCACGAAAGGATAAATGCTCGCGATTAACGATTTATTTAATTCAACGACGATGGTGACCGATCATTGCTCCTCTTTTCTTCTTCCTGAAGACCTAGGGAAATTTTTAATTAATATTTTTTTTTTCAACACTAACGCTCTTACGATTTCTTTTACTACTCGATCCGAAAGGATCGATTCCACGCTATAAAAATGAAATAAATTTCAGCGAAAATCGAACGATTCGAACAATTTTCATTGCACGAACAGTTAAACGAACATTCTAGGATACATCGATTACGGGTTAAAGAATGTTCCGCGAACGGCGAACGGTTAAACAATCATCCGAAATATTCGTGATACCAAGTGTTTTCCGAGAAAGGCAATTAGCTGGGCGAACTATTCGCGTAAATCACGGAGCCGTTAACTAAATCTTGATTGATCAATTAAACGGTCGTCGCGGGACGTTTATAATGCAGTGAATATCTCGGAACGAGACGAGCCACGGTTGACCAACAGCTTAGCGAGAATAATGGCTTTGCGTAACAATTAAACGTCGCTTTCAGATGCATTTACGATTTGAGCAATCCTTTCAGCGTCACGATTACGAATCAACTAGACAGCTCATCGTTTAACTCTCGTCTCGGAGTTCTTGGCATTCTTTTCATCTTTTCTTATTCCGATTGAATCGATTTTATCGATGCCGCAATATTTTGCCATCTATTACTTACCTTTTATTATTTTTTTTTTTTTCGCAAAATCAGAGGCGTTGACCATAACAGTCGAGGAGTTAAGTATCGTAGTGTCGGCACAGTAATGCGGGTGATTGCGTTTAATGGGTGTCGTTAACGGAGGAGGGTGAACGGTGGTATGCGGATTAGTCGAGAGGCGGATTGTCAAAATGCTCGAACCAGAAGGCACGTGGTGTACCGTTACACAGAAGGCGTTCGCCTATCGAATATTCGACCTACGACCCCGGCGACGCGCGGCACCGTGAACGCGGAAATGCAGCTACGCTTGGCATCGGCCCTCCAATGACCTTACGCGGAGTCCGTTTGTCTCTTGGTCAGCAAACTCGCCGCCGCCGCCGCAGCCGTGGCTGAGCCTCGCTTTCGATGGGATAATCGCGA